CCTGCACTTCCAGAACTAGGGAATCCTCTCCCAGCACTGTATCAAGATAATATTCTGTTGCAAACAAGAGTTTTCACTGGCTAATTTTTGGACGTCTACTGCCAGGGCTTTCTTGCTAGTCTGTTAGTCTGAGCACACCGCCACACCCTGGCCACTATGGGTGACCCTGAAGATTTTCTGACTCTCAATGGCAGAGCTTCTAGCATTATGGTAACACGTAGGTCTCCACAGCTCCACATGCTGTCAGGGAAGTGTCTGATTAGACTATGTCTATAAACAAGCATGCACTTCACTGTGCAAGAGCCACTACTCTAAAGTGTCAGGGTGAAGTGTGTGAGATGATTTCCATACCATTCTGATTATTTGTTCTAGTAAAATCTCTGCTGGCCTACTGGGTAAAGAGTTGTGCTCTAAAGCAGGCAGTTGAAATCCACCAGTAGCTTTGAGGAAGGAAGATTAAGAGTGACCTCCCCTGTGCTTTACAGCATCTGAAAACCCACAGGAGGGTCAGCAGTGAGTTGACTGCAACTTTCAAACTAAAAACACAACAATCTCTAAAGGAATATTCATCCATAAATAGAATAAATCATGGCTAAACTGAGAAACAAACCTGTCTTGTGATTTTAAAAGCATACATGCCAGTAAGTATCTTGGATAAGACTTGGGAGAAAAAAGCCACAGCATGATAAATTTGGAATCAGACATATGTAGGTTCTAATTGTAGTCTACAGGTAATAGTTATGTTAGCTGTGTGCCTTAAATTTGCTCAGTCTTTTATTCCCATCTAATAAAATGGGCTTTGTAGCCTCACCTCATGGAGCTGTCATCCATACTGAGGAGGATTACACACACACACACACACACACACACACACACACACACACACACACACACAGTGATGTGCTTGGAGTGCTGGTGTGGCGCCTGGATTTGTAATGCAGTGCAAGTCATCTTTTCACCCTGGCTGATTCGAGACCATGAATGGTTCACCACCAAGCTTGGAAAATTCCTATTTACCAATCATCAGCCAAGGCCAGCACACCACTGCTGGCCCTTAAGAAATGGTTGCAATTATTTCTCAATGGTTAAACTTTGTCTTCAATTGATCTAGGAAAATGTTTACTGCTTGGTAAGATTCTGTAGAGATGGAGGATATTAAGGCCAGGTAAAGACAGTAATTCATAAAACTTAATGTTTAATGATTTTAAATGTTGAAAAACGTTAATTTACTTTGAAAAATAAGCTGAAAATTCATAACAAGCATCAAAGAATACTACTATAGGAAGAAGAATATGTTAGTTACTTTAAAAGTATGAACAAGGTCACTTGGTGAGATGTTCTACTTGAATTAATTCTTTCTAAATTGATTAAAAATAGCTTCTTAATATTTCTTGTATCCTTATAAAAATTTGTCAGTGAAAATTTAAGTGCATTTTAGACTTTAGCAAATAGACACACATTATTAAAGTCCAATTGCACTTTCCCAAAGTTTTCTTTCATTTGATCCAATAAATTTTATATCATTTGAGGCTGATTTTTTATTTTAAATTTTGCTATTGCCTATTTTATTGATTTATCACTTTACAGAATAAGGTTGGTATCATTACTACTGTTGTTTTTGGTAAGAGGACAATTTTGCACGTATAGCCTAAAATGACAGGCAATGGAACATTTAAGCTGAAACTACTTAGAACATCTAGATTTACAGAGCCAGAAAATAATTTTCTAAAAAAAGTGAGCATCTCAATGCATAATATTAACACTTTGATGTAGAACAAATCACCACAATTGAGGACAATTTAATCAATTTCGAGCTCACCACTTTCCATATGCATTTAGCATACAATGGACAGCTTGTGCTGGGACAGTATGCTGAGGCTAGTAACTAAGATGTTCTGATATATGTGCATTGAAGAATAGTTGGGAATTTTCTGTGCTAATCTGTATCAGTGTCCTTTGCAAAATGATAGAAGTTATTAGCATTATAGTATGGCACAATATTGCCAAGAATTATAATTATTGTCCTTGAGTCAACCATTGAGTCAGTCATGGCAACTCCATCTACAACAGAAGGAAATGCTGTCCAGCCTTGTATCATCTCCATGATTGGGGTGCAAACCCGATCTTTGTGATTCATAGGGTTTCCGTTGGTTGGCTTTTTGAAATAAGATTACCAGGTCTCTCTCCCTATGCTCAGTTGTGAAGTTCTGCTACAACTTGCTTAGCATTGTTATAACACAGCAGCCTACACTCGTAGACGGGTGATAGCTACAAATGAGGTTTGTTGTCCATGAACTAAACCCAAGCATTCTGCATGGAAGATATGAAATCTACCATAGGGTACTGGATTTTAATGTCCAGAATAGAACTGAATGGGAAAACTGGGATTATACTATGTAGTTTCCAAAGACCCAGCAACTAGTATCTTTGTAAAGGAACACTGAGTATGTGACCCCAATGCAAATACCACTGGGTAGATATATACCTCTCTTTCTAATGTGTATAACTCTGCCTTCATCTGCTATTCTTGGTATAGTGGGTTGTTGTTGTTATGTGCCATCGAGTCACTTGAGACTTATAGCAACCCTATGTACAAGAGGCCTAACCCTGCTCTGTCCTGTGCCAACTTCACTGTCTCTGACACACCTACTCCCACTACCCTGATCACCGAATCAATCTGTCTCATTAAAGGTCTTCTTCTTCTGTGCTGCCCCTCCACTTTCTCAAACATGATGTCACTCTCCAAGAACTGGTCCCTCCTTGCAACATGTCCAAAGTATGTCAGGTGAAGCTTCAGAATCCTTGACTCCAAGGAGCAGCCCGGCTTCACCCTCTCCAGGACAAACCTGTTCGTTCTCCTAGCAGTCCATGGTATAGTCAACACTCTTCTCCAGCACCACAGATCAAAGGCATCAATTCTCTTTCTCTCATCCCTAGTCACTGTCCAACTCTTCAATGCACAGCACACAGTTGCGAAGACTATAGCCTGGATCTGGCGCACCTTAGGCGCCAGCCTGACATCACTGCTCTTTAGTACTCTGGAGAGATCCCTGACAGCTGACTTTCCCAGTGCAATTTGTCTCTTGATTTCCTGGGTGCTGGTACCAAGAGTGTTGACTGTGGAGCCAAGCAAACTAAAACTGTTAACTATCTCAATCTTTTCACCATCTATCCTGATGCTGCAAAGTGGCCCAGTGGTGAGAAGTCATCGAGTAATTAGATGACATTTTGAAAGGATGATGAGACTGGGGAGAAAGAGAGAATGTACCGTCTTTTTCTGGCCTATGTAAAAAATAATGTATCTGAGATGAGAAGTGTCATTCCGGTCACTATAGTCATGTACACAGACAAAGGTACATGATAAACTGATAGACCTTTTCAGGTTCCAACAATATACTCGTATGAAACAAAAGAAAAAAGAAAATTATTTGTGTATTTTCTAAATACTGACACAAAATGTGATCAGTTGCTGCCCTTGTGAAAAGATGCAGGACTCGATTTCTGATAAATCAGTTGGGTCTGTAGATTAGATGCAAACGTGATAAACATCAATGTGCAGCTCTTTCCTCTGTCAATTTAGTGGCCTTTAACCACAGAAACTACTAAATTAATTAAAACTGGGTACAATTCAAGGATTCTCCAGGCAGATTTTCACAAGCAAGCAAAACTCCTGTGAAAATGTTACACTTCAATGCGGCTTCCTCCAACACTTTCCTTACAGTGCTGGTTTACCCAGTACAGCAAGGAGTCAACATACATTTCCAAGTGCTTACTTACAGTTGCATGGTTTTTTCACCACATCAAAGATTCCACTTCTAGATATGGCTGATATCTTTCTCTCCCATCCCCATAGCACCTTCCTACAGAATCAAAGCCTCTTCAAAGTTATAGTCTATGACAGGGAGTACATTCCCAGTAAGCAAAGCAAGCACAAATAAGCCATTGTTAACTTGGTAATCTGACTCTGTCTATTAG